GTGGATAATGTGTTGAATTACCATCTTGATAAAGCTGTAAAGATGGGAGCTGGATTAAAACATATCATGGTATGCTAATTTGTTCTGCATGAATCGGTAAAATGTCTATTGTCTTGTATATATTTTTTGGAATGTTTCATGTATAATTTGTCATGTCTTTCTTCTTGAGTCAATATGAACTTTCAACGTCAAGATATTTTTGACACCACAATATATGAAACAAACTTGTGCTCACAAAGTCTTTCAAAGGAAAAAATTGATCTTGAATCTATTTTGATATGTCCTATCATTTCATGCACACGCTAACTTGTTTACAATTGCAAACATGTATTCGTGGTTTATATTGTTTTAAGTTCTGATAATATTTTCGGGTAGTGTTGTTTGTCCTATTATGTTCATGCTTGTAGATTTGACTTTATAGTAGGTTTGAGAGTTAGATGATTCAGGGAACAATTAAAAAAACTTCCTCAACAAGATGTTCTGTTTAATACCTTGGGATTTCAATTAACTTTAAATTTATTTCCCTTATTCCTTGTGTTTTCTGTCTTGCCATTTAAATACCTTCGGATGGCTTATACTGCCATGGATGTTCCATCATAAAATTGAAGGTTGCATCTCCTACTGTCATGGAAATTAATCAATTGTTGTAACATGTTGTTTTGACGGTCTTATGGCTAATTATTATTATTATTATTATTGAAGACCATAATAAATACGGAGTTTATGGTTTATTTTTTTTTCATTTCTGTAATGTTGTTTAATGGAAGTTGAATTTATTAAAATGTTAGCTATAACTGTATTGACCACGAGGGCATAATTTTTGCATTTATACACGCGAGCGTACGCACACATTTATATAATTATATTTTATTTAGTAGTGGAGGGTGGGATGCAGTTTTCTCTTGATTCTATTATTTGAGGCCGTTTGCAAGAATTGGTTATTTGAAATAATATTAACACTCACTCCTTTATGTTACAGTATATGATGCCACCTTATGGGACTTCATATGTGGCATATGGAAAAAACTCAAAGAAGCGGGCTTCGATGAAGAGTCCATCAAACGTAGAGACAATGCTACTCTTGTCGTCTATATTGCTGAACTCGAAGTCGAGGTCTTTTTTTCTTAACTTCTTTGTGTATTTATATATTTATTCGTTCAATGTTTCTTTATTTCCATCTTTTTTTGATTGATTTCCTATTTTCCTTGTTCGTGTAGTTTATTTTTCTCTCTTTGCAAAGATCAAAGGTATAATTCATTTGCTTTTCCCGAGCTTCTTTCTTAATTTCTTTATTCTTTGGAAGAGTTTGAGCCTCTATTTTTGTATTCATTTGTAGTTTCTCTGAATCGGTAAACAACTGGTTCATTCTCTTGTGGAT